ATGCAGGCAGCCTACTGATAATGAGGTCAGAAATACAAATAAATTTACTTTTAATGAAGACTGGAGGCACAGTAATCAAAGTGTTAAAATTCATTTCATGCATATCTCATTTGCTTCTTAGCTGATATTTACCACGCAATTCTGTGAGAAAGTAGAGGCCTAAGATGCTCCAGATAAATGGCTCAATTAATTGTACAGAGGTAGACCTCTTTGAGCTGAGCCAGAGCTGTGAGCTCTTTATTAAAAGCACTATTCTGTAGCCCCTAACCTTGTTCCTTGACTCCTCTCTGGTTTCCAATTTAAACAAGTCCCCATGCGGCCCGCTCTAAAGGGCTTTGTCTCCCTGTCATTGTTAAGAGAGCTGAGGCATCCTGGAAGTGTGAAATCAGACCTCATGAGTTGAACGGTTCCCCAGGGAACGCCGGACTGCGCAGAAGGTCAAAGTCATGGGCCGGACCATCTAAAAGTGTCTGATCGCCGGTCTGTGACACAGCAAGTTGGGGGTGGGGGCTAGACTGAAGAGGACTGAAATTGAACACGTCTTAATTAAAGCCCACAGACAGCAAAACAAAATGTTTTCCAGGCAGCCTGTCAAATGGGGCTTAAATTTAGCTCTGCTAATGAATCTGAGCTGCTAACTGTTATTTCTTAAGATAATAAGACTCTCACGAAAGCTGATAAAAAAAAAAAAACAAAAAAAACTGTAGCATGTCTTTTTCTGCTGTTTTGTTACTTAAATATTTTCCAACAATGAAGACAGTTTTCCAAAAGGAAAACATGGGGAAAGTCTATGCAAATAAAGGGGTAGTAAACATCTCTCTTAATAACTAGTAGGTTTCCAGACAACAGGGTTGGTGTGTTGCAAGTCTTTGTGTATAGCCTTGTTTTAGTGGGGGGGAAAAAAACCCTCTCATTTAATGGGACAATTTCAGTGACAGATTCTACTAATTGTAAAATTCTTTCTCTCTCTCTCACTTTTTCTTTTCCTTTTCCTCTATTGTTTCCTGGAAGAGATGGTGCATTAATTTGAGAGATCAATTCACCTGGTGTGGAAAGTTTTATATTATTGTACCTTTTAGTACAGTGAAAAGGTAGGGCATCTTTTGACCGGTTTCACAGTTCTCCCATATTACTGCTCCTGAAACTGAGTCTCCCTGGGGAGGCTATGTATGACCTCTTCCTTAGGAGCTCAAACACACACACACACACACACACACACACACACACACACACTCACACGCACAAAACCCAGGGGGAAATGAAGGGGAGGGGCTGAGGAGAAGAACTCTTTTCTCTTTCTTCTCTTAGAACTTGAAAGAACCAATAGGCTAGGTCTAAATACTCTGCAAAGAAAGCCTCACTCAATTTAGAAGACTTGAAATGTTCAGTTGAAAGCAGAAATTAGGCCCTGCTCAAGGAAAAGAATAATTAGAAGCTAGAAAAGACAAATTACAACATGAACCGTTTCCCAGTACCCCCCCACCCCCATTCCTTTTTCCCTCATTGTCCTTTCTATTCTCACAATCCATCCAGTTCTAAGGAACATGTGATTTAGTGGAGAGAATCTTCCCCAGTGAACACAGGGCCAGACAGTCTCTAGGTTTTTTGCTTTGATAGTGCAGAAAGACATTAACCTTTTCGCTGGTTAGTTGAAAGGTAAGTAAGTTGTACTGAGCAGTATTTCTCTGTTATTCCAACTTTTTCCCTCACGAAGAATTTAGCAGACCAACTTTTCAAACCCGAGTGCCACTTTCTCAGGCTGTGAAAGGCTGCCCACAATTTGACTGAAATTTCAATCCACTCTTGTGCCCTGCTCAATGCATGTGTATGTGTGGGAGTTGTAAATTGAGGCCTTAACCACCAGAGTTAATCTCTTTTTAAAATCTGTATTAACCTTAATGATTTGAAGTGCACTGTCCAACACTGGGCTATTGAGACGGAAGAAAAAACTACCCTCGACTATCAACAGTTTATTAGGGGCTTAACTGAAGTGACCTACTGTAGTAGTGTTCAGCTGAACAAGGCTATAGGCTTTTTGTGGAAAGGGAAAGAATTGAGGGTTTCATTAAAAAGTAATTTGTGCTTTATACTCACTCATTCAAAGAGAGTCTCAATTGCTCTTTATTCACACAGAGTTAATACAGTATCACAATGTTTCTCAATGAATGTGTTGTAACAAAAGAAAAATTTTACATTTTGAAAGGGAAAAATTCTTTGTGACTTCAGTAAGATTGATGGCTACTTAAAAGATTACAGAATCTCTCACATTAAATGATGGAATATGAAAATTAATTTTTTTTGCTTAAACAATGAAAGTTTAACTTTATGTCCAGATCATTGAAAATATTTTAAAAATTGGGCAAAATTGGTCAAATATAAGTTTGTCTTGTTGGAATGGTCTAGAAAAAAAGTGCTCTGAAGCCAAATATCTTATAATAATACCTTCATTTGTACTGAGTCAGAAAATATTCTTGGCTTAACTCGGAAAATTATCCGTGATTTAAAATCTCCCCTCTCCATCTAAACACTTATAAATGGATACTTATTTGAAGATTTGAAGACAGCACTATTCATTCAATTCCCTCTTTTCAAACTATTAGTTAATATTGTATAGAGCTTGACTATTATTAACCATTGAGATGTACATCACATCTTTAAAGTTCTTCTTTGAATAAGAGATAAAACTACAGAGCTTACTTGTACATCAAATTAACTGACAAATGGGGCCATCAGGATACACACACACATACACACACACATATACACAGTCTTTTCAGAAGAAAAGATTATTTTTAATATTGGTGGTGCATTCAGACATTTCTGACTTAAATACATGGTCCTCAATTTTTTGCCACCATCACAAATGTCATAAACCACAAAAGTTCCAAGAGTGAGCAAGGTCAAAGACTGAATTATCCTTTTGCCCCTGAATAGTTCAACATCTCTCTTGTTCAATTCAGAGCCCATTAGATTATAAGGTCACCACGGAATGAGAATCATTAGATTTATATCCCTAAAACTGGAGGAAAAAAATGGGGACTTTGTTATTTAGTATTCCCCAAATTAATGTTCATTTTATCAAATCAAAATCATGTCTCATTGAATCCCTAGAGGAAAGGCTATTGTTATTCACATCGATTTACATAGAACCATTAGGAAAGAAATATCTCTATTTTTTCCAGCTTTGAAAGAACATGTACTTTAACTTCCATAGTGGCATACAGGCCAACTAGGTTAACATAGTTTGCATATTCATGAAGTTTTAAAATCAAAGACAGCTTCTTTCTAAGAGAAGAAAAACCTACACAATAGTATTCAGCTTCAATAATGGACAGGTAGCTAAGTGTTTGAAGTAAATGGTACTTGAATTTTTCTATAAGAAATTGTTTTCCCAGATTAATCTGATTATAACCATACCTGAAATAAAATTCATAAGAGAGAAAATGAATAAACTTAACATTCACTAATTGTTTAGCACTAGGAGCCAAGTCAGCATACATGCAAACAGATTTCCAAACTATATTTTCTCCCACTGTTTTTAGCTACACCTAGTTTGAAAATTTTTGACAGTTCTTATTTATCTTCTTAGTCACAAATAACCTGATAATTACTTCTTTAGAGAAACTATAAATTCCCAACATTTTTACTTTATCATATAATAAATAGTCACTTGATAATATGCAAGTAGTAAAACTTAAAAATATTGCTCTTTTGGACGAAACATGCTACTTTAGTTTGAAGGCAGTTATCTTTTAATTTTTTCATTTTGTTAAATGAATTACTGAAGGACACAATGATTTGCAGACCCTTGGATGGTAAGAAAAATATACTTCTGTCTTTCAAATAAGTCTGTTACCTTTTGCACGTCATCGTGCTAATCATTCATAATGGTAAGTATAGTTCCACAAATAATAAGTGGGTACTTTCCATAAACCATGAAATTTGTATAAAAAGTGGTCAAGTCAGTCCATCTCAAGATAAATAATTTGATCAATGGAATAAACATCACCCATATCCTTATAAAATTTAGCAATAAATATATAACATGAAAACAGTTATAACAAAATGAGTAAATTTTTAAGAGATAAGACTAAGTTTTTCTTTCTTTCTTTCTTATTTATTTATTTTTTGGGACAGGGGAGAACTTGGGACTGAACCCAAGGTACTCTACTACTGAGGTACAGTCCCAGTCCTCCCCCCTTTGTTTTTTTAAACATGGTCTCACTAAGTGGCCAAGGTTGGGCTTGATCTTGCAATCCTCCTTCCTCAGTCTCCCAGGTAGTTGGTAGGCATATGCCACCACGTTTTGGCAAGCCTATGCCATGGTTAAACACTTCAAACAATCCTGATGTTTAGTTTAGATCCAGAATGATCTATGGATATGTTAAGAAATTTGGACAACTAGGAGATTGAAGGGGCAACACAAATATTCAAGAGTCCATAGTAATTATTAAGCACTACTCATCTAAACTTCTTAGAGACCTGTGCAACAGATTTCATGCATGTGTACATTACAAGTATTTGGTTATGGGGAAGGTGATATTCTCTGAGAGAAGATAATTCAGCATTACTTCAATATACTAAAATGACAATATCTGGAAAATTATTTATAATACATTGGTTAAACTATGGGGAGGGCAACAATTCAAAAGTTATTTTGCTTTTATTGTTTATTTTTAATATATTACCCTGTCTTTAAAAAACAGAATTAGTATAAAAATTAGAAGTATAAAAATCATGGGGTTGGGGGGCTGGGAATATAGCTCAGTTGGTAGAGTGCTTGCCTTGCGTGCACAAGGCCCTGGGTTCGATCCCCACCACCAAAAGAAAAAAAAAATCATGAGGTTGGAAAATCTTTGTTAAGATCAACCCTGAATTTTTATATTTAAATTAGTTACTTTGACAATCCACTCAGGTAAAATGAAGAGTTGGAATATTCAGTGGTGTAGCTCTTGGATACTGTCCCACATGTGCCATAGGAGAATTACATCCTTTCTTACCTGTGACATCAGCAGCCATCAAACCTTCTGCTCTGATGACTTTCACTTGGAGAAATCCCACATCTTTTAGGTTGTGGAATATCCTCAACGGGCTCTGAAAGACCCCAAGATTGTTATTAGAAAAGAAAACTCCTAAGGAGTCTCAAAGAGTGTGCTAAGAAAATAACTAAGTTTTGTGGATATCCTGGGATATTCCCCAGAGTGTCAAAAGTTCATTTGTCTTTCTCCAATACAAATTACCCTTTCATCATCATGAATGTACATACACTCACAATTATGTAGCTAATTATTGCTCTATAAGTAGATTTTCTGAGAGAATAAAAAATCACATTTATTCCCCATAAGTAATTATCAGTAAATGGTAAAAAACAAATTATAGAAAAAATATGTCTACTTTCTTTTCTTCTCTCAATGCCCTCCATCAAAACACTCCAAGAAATCTTTCATCTGTAGAGATGATGGTTTGAAGACTAAGGATTCCTAATAGTAGTGAATCTTTAAGTTGTTGGTCATATAACACATGGGGCACAAGCAAAATGTCAACACTAAATTAATTAATTTTTCTATTAATTTCTTCTTGGTATCTTTTAGAAACTGCATGTACTAGATTAAGGATAAATTAAAGACTGTTTACTAATGTTTAATTCAAAAGACAGTGTAGTTCTATAAGTCTTTTAGGGAGAAGGCATGATATTTTAAACTAAATAAAATTGATGACTTGAAAATTAATTCAAAAGGAGTAATTTTTTCTTAAACCTATAGTTTTACTTGGTAGCATACGTATGGAAATTTTGATAGAAGAATCAAATGATAACAGTTATTTTGCTTCCTAAGGTCATAATTGTGATTTTTAATAAGCACAGTACTTGCAGAAATTAAAAGCAGGAAACCAACACAACAATTCAGAAGTCTAATTAATGGGCACAAATAGTCTGAGAATAAAATGAAACTCTAGACACCGAAATGCATTTGTTGATTTACACTTCATAGCGTTTTTCCTATGGCGAGGTCAGCTTTTCTACTCAGCATCAAAGGCACTTCTTTATCATCATCTTTAAAATGTTTCATGACCAGGGAGCATAACACACTTTTGCATAATAAAGTTATCTATTAAAATGTTGCTAGAGTAAAAAGCATCCCCATTATTGTATTACCAATGTGAGAATACTGACAAGCCCAAAGCTTCCTGTGATATGAACTTTATCAGTCCCCTATGACTAGTCATTGTTTACACTAAAGATATGCCCTTGGTACCCTGAGAGGAGGAAATACAGATCTATCTGTAATCTCATAGCCTAACTTTTTAAAAACGATGTTAGCACAAGGATTAACTCTTAATCTTTTATTGTCTTTAAACAGTTGTTTATCACCAAAAATCTGTTTAAAATAGCCAGATGACACAGTTTAGTAAAAAGGTACTTCTCTTTCCATTTAAATTCTCATAAATTAAGGGTTTTAACAGTGGGGGTTTTAGACAGCAGTATTGTAATTCCAAGGTTTGTAGGCACGTTGTGCTCCTACAGTAACAATCAAGTTTGGGAAGCTTTTTATCTGAGAAGTTAACTAATGCAATAAACCAGACAAATCCCCTACCCTAATGATGGTTTGATAGTTTTATCAAAAGATTCCAGTACTTATAATTTTTCAGAAGCAATTTTAACCAAGTTTCATCATGACTAAAACAAATATCATCAGTCCCCATGTCTGAGAACCATTTCATTCTGGTAATCTCATTCCACAGACACCCTGTCTTCTGATGCTTCTTCAGCTCTGATGTTCTGCTTCCCATTTGGAGGGGTAATTATTGTTTGATGGTTTCATTTTTCCAAGTCAGCTGACGCCCAGTAACTTATTGCAAATTTCAACTGTTTTAGGCCACTGATGCGAATATTATTATAATAAGAACTCAAAAAAGCAAATAAATACATCAGTTTAAAAATATTACTTTAAGTAATACTTCATCAAGAGATATTTCTGTCTTGTTATTTATAGTTATTTTAGAAGGCCTCAAAACATAGATGGCTTCTGAAGCCAGAAATTTCCATAGCAGAGGAATCTATGATTTGCTGTGAATCCTTTCAGCCCTCAATAGATGGGAAAAGATTGAAATGCTCTGGAGAGGAGTCCTCTTTATTTTTTTAATGAAAGGCTGTATAATATATTTTCTCTATGGCTGCAGCAGCTGTCAGGGAGAGCATCTCAGTTCAGCTCTATTACGGGAGAGGCAATACCCCAGCCTATGGCATCGAGATGCTCTGAGGGGCCAGAGCTGATTGACAGCTTGTCACCGTGACGTCTTATTCCATCTCTGTTATGGAGAAAATTAATGTCACACCACCAGCCTTATGACTCGCTGTCATCTTAGAACCGCTCACCTTTTATCAATGCTCTAAATAACATTTCAAGCCCATCGTCTCACGGTGGACAATCCGGTCAAGGGACATTAAATCAGATGACTGTGAAATGTCATAATAAAAATGGAATGCTAACAACTTCTTCTCTAAACTAGCTCCTCTGGTTTTTAAACTGTGACAAGGGGGAGCAAGGGTTCAGCATACCCGTTCTGAGAAGGTCATACAATCACTCTTGGTCTACTACCCATTACTACCCGCCCCCTATTGACCTTCCCTCCCTCCCTCCCCCACAAAAGAAGAAAAAAAAAGAAAAATGGAATTAGCCATCTTTTCAGAATGGGGTGATCAAATAATGGCTCACATAGGAATGTCTGTTTAATTTGTGAGACTTCAATGTTTAGCAATGAACAGCTAAACAACAGCAAAGGAGAGATTTTTCAAGGGCTGTTTCGTATGAGAGTCGGGAAGTTCATTTACTTTTCTGCACACAACCAATGCCAAATCAAATACTTAAGTTTAACCTTAACTTTTAAAAACATACATGTCCTTACAAGAAAACATAAATAATTCTCCAACATGTAACATCCTTTATATGTTTCTCCAAAACAAGGGATATTTTAGACATGATACAGCATCCATTCATTTCAAAATACATATAATAAAAATGAAACACACCACAGCCCTAAAATATAGCTCTTTGTCCCTGTATTGCTATGAGCAATTATAACACATGTGCTATACTGATAGTGTAGTTTCTTAGCAAGTAAGTCTCTAGAGGGAGGTATAGGCCTGTGCCTGAAGTTCAAGGCTATGAAAAAGTACATTAAAATATGATTCACTTTTTAATATATTCAGCAGAATATAAGCTGAAAACTCACTGGAACATCCAAATAATATTTTAAAATTTACTGAAATAAGTAGGGGTTGAAAGAAGATGGGCAACAAATACTCAAGTTCTGAATGAAAGGAAGTCCATCCAGCAAAGAAAAATTAGATCAATAATAGATGGATTACTTCTAATTACCTGAACAGAATTATCACCTCCATATATAGGATAATAACATTGTAATCCATTAACTACAGTATTATAATACCTAGAAGAATTTTTATATTAATATACCAATTAATTTCTTTATAATAGTTTTAACTCATAGAGTTCACTTTTGGTAACAATATGTTTTGGTACATACCAATAGTGAAATAATTTTCATAATTGCAATTATATATTAGGAGATGCCACATAATACCTTAAGCTTTTAGGTGGCTTAAAAATATATACTATTTAGCCTTGCTAAGTCACCTCTATTAAACTGTTTATGATAACACCATTGGTGGATGAGTTGAACAAGCATTAGCAGACAGCTGATTCAGTGGAGATAGCCAGAATAAATTTGCTGAAGCGCACATCCTGCTAATCTGTTTGAAGAATATTGTAGAGCATTAGTACCAGCACTTCATGTTATCTGCACAGCCTGATAAGGTACATCTTTATTAAATTCGGTTATTGAAAGGATGTCAGTCAGCAAATAGGAATATATTTTTTTAAAGCCATTCTTTGTTAGTCAGAGCTTGGTTTCATGGCTGAGTGTCTAGAGGAGACTTCTAAACACCTGGCAGCATTGTACAATACAAGCTTTGTAATTTTAAGTGGAAGCTTTTCTCCTCAGCTTCATGGGTACTGAGGCATTTACTTTTCCAAGCTTCCATTGAGAAAGAATGGTGGAGTAAGAGCTCCCCTCTCTGTTGATTCAATAAAACTACACAGTGGGAAATGCACCGTGGGAGGTTGCTGGGAAATAAAAAGATTTGGTTGCAAATGTTTGGGTTTGGTAAGATTTGTGGAGGGTAGTTGTTTTGGTGGCTCACTATTCTACCTTCTCACTCCACATTTGATCAAAGGGAAGGAAGCTCCCTTTTAATTGCACTTAATTTAAAAAAAATTAAGGAAAGAAGTGAGGCTTTTCTAAGGCATTGAAAATAAAAATCACTTCTGTGAATACTCTCTAGTTTACCAAGCTTCTAATTAACGCAAGTGCCATTAACCCCATTTTCAAACTCAGAAAACAAGGAAATCATAATTGCAACTCTACAGAGTCAATGAGTTAATTTAAAAGTAATGTTTGTGTAAACTTGACTTTATGATAAGATTCTCTGCATGATAAAATCACTGAGCAGAATCCAGAACTTGCTCTGGAGTTGATTCTGGAGAAGACTAAGGGTCTAGACATGGGTGGGTAAAAGACATGAGTGGGTAAAGCAAGTGCTCCTGCAAAGTCTGTGTGGAATTTGTATGTGTCCAGTGTTTTGCTTCTGCTGAACCTTCCATAAGACAACTTATCATAAATACATCTATCACTCAGGGTACATTGTTTACAACCTCATCTAGTCACATGTGACTCCAGAAGGAGGAGAGTTACATACGTACATATCTCTTTAATATCTCCTCCCGCTCTTTCTGGTCCTCCAGGGAGTTGACGGAGAGGTCAGAGATACTGACTGTGGCAGAGGCTGTCAGAGTGACGAGCAGCACCAGGTGTCCCTCACCCTCTTCCAGCTGCAACTCCAACTTGTGTGTCTGTTCCCTACTGAGGGACGACAGGTCGACCTGGCACCTAGAAACAAATGTTTTGAATCAGCAAGTGGCTTTTTTTGCCACATCAAACAGCAGAAGTGAGGGCTGCTCAGAGGTATGTGAAAAGTGAATCAATAGAAATATTATCTGGCCCACTAAAAGAAAACATTTTTCATGTTAGCTGACATTCTTCAAAAAATTCAGATCCTGGTTATCTTAGGGTCTGTAATTTCTCACTTCCTATAAGACACCCAGAAAAGGAGTTTTCTGAAATTGGAATATTATCCATTGTAACCCTATTCAGAAATGGTGAGGACTTCCCATCCCTAGGTGACCTAGGAACTGGGTTGAAGGGTCTTTGCTTCCAGAAGGACTGACATAAAGGGTCTAGGGAAGCACAAGTCTGAGTTTTGTGTCACTTTCAAAACAAGGTGTATTTCCCCCCTCATTCATAAATGTTACTAAGTAGTGAATAATAAACATACTATAGTGGTGCCATAAGTATTACATTTTGAAACCCATGCCAATTTACTCATAGTACACTCCATAAGTCTAAATAAAAGTGCCCGAATCCCCTGAAACACTCTACCCCAAGTGTTAGGACCTCACGGGGTTCTATAACTTGGCATCTCATGCTTTATTTGCCACTCTGAGAGCTGAACACCATGCAAACCCTTTTCATAAAAATGTCACTTGATTTGGAAGAAACAGATAATATGGTGACCATAAGTTCTAATAACCTGAGAAAAATGTGGCAGTCATGAATGGAAATAGCCAATGATAAGAACAAACAGGGTTCAAGTGTTATAAACACAGTGGTCGGCAATCAGGGCCAGATGAAATTCTTATTCTTTGGTTTTTGTTTGTTTGTTTTTTGGTACCAGGGATTGAACACAGGGGTCCTCGACCACTGAGCCACATCTCCATACCTATGCTGTACTTTATTTAAAGACAGGGTCTCACTGAATTGCTTAGTGCTTAGCTTTTTAATGAGGCTGGCTTTGAACTCGCCATCCTCCTGCCTCAGCCTCCCAAGCCACTGGGATTACTGGCACACACCACCGTGCCTGGCTCTTATTCCTTTTTCATTCCTCACTCTCTTTGTTCATTATTGTTCCACTTTTAAATTAAATGTTGAGAAACTGATCCTCAAAACTTCTAATGGGGTTTAAACATCTGCTTAATGTGGGTGATTTTAGAAACGGACCCAAAATCAGACATTAATTTTTGCATATCACTTAATTTGAAGGATGACTGTGCCTAGACACAATTGGAAAGAGAGCAACATAACTATAAGAAATGAAAACCAACAGTAAGGCCCTACTCAATGCTAGGAAGTCTGTGTGTTGTAAATGCTCACTGTATTGAGAAAGCAAGAAGTTTAGATGCCAGGACACGAGAATAAATCATTCAGGGTCACTCCAGGTGAATTAGGTTAGTGTGAAATAATCACACAGACAGAATACCCTTTTTCTCTGGGCTCAGTGACGGCTCCTCTGCTCCAGCATCCACAAAGGAGGCAATCGAAGGATGACAAAAGAGGGAGGAGCACATTCTGAAGCCCTTTTATTGAGGGGAACACACTCCAGAACATTCCACCCTAAATGAGGCAAGGGGTCAAGTTTCAGGGGGTTGAGTCTAGCTTTGTGATGTCTTGTGGTCAGCAGACTGACTGACATCTTGGAAGGCAATGCCCATCTCATTGGGTAACGCCCACACCCAGAGCTGCACCTCCCTTACTGAGCAGGGGCAAGTCCACATGGATTGCAGAGGGTGCAGTGCCAGTCCAGTTCCTCTTTACTCCAAACTTAAAGACATGTGCTTAGCTTCTGTTCAGGGTGGCCCCCTACAGAGTTTTGTGAAATCTGAAAAACACCCTCTTAAAACTAGCATTTACATAGAAAACCTCTTTGTTTCTTTGAACACAACATTCATTTCAAAATACTCTATGCTGTCTCTTTAAACTTTCAAGAATGATAAAAATACATAAAATGCCTTATCTAATATTTTTATTGAAATTAAAATAAGTTTTTATCAAGAACAACAAATTGAGAGTAAAAAATATAACTGAAAAATAACCACTCTAAAGTATTCTCTAATAAAAAGGAAAGACATGAATATGGTTTTTTAGAGTTTTTTCCAATACTGGGCACAATGCCTGTGGCCTGTAATTGGTTGAATGACAGTGAATCTCTGGCTTGGATCAGAATGTAATACCAGAGAATCAAACTGGAATTGTAATCCAGACAGTATTCTTCACTTCTGGATACAGTTGTTACCCAGAATGGTCTTCCCTGGGCTTTGTTTTTTCTTTTCTTTTTTCACTCACATTGATCATGTATTCATTTTCCATGTTCCTTCTTTACTTACTCTTACATGCCACTGCCTTTCTCTTAAAAACGTCTGGACGACTTCTGGAGAATTTCCTTCTGTGCCTGCCACTTTGCACTGGTTGTGAAGATGTGGGCTTATGCTTCATTTACATCAGACTCATTACACACAATGCTCTAGAGCTGGGGAAGGTGCTGTAAGATTACTTGCTTCAGGAATTGCAAACTGGAAACTGGAATCTGATGTATAGATAGATGGGTTGTTTTTGCTGGTAGTGCACTAAATAAAGTTCTGAATCTAACGCAGTAATTTTAAATACAGGGCAAATGCCCTCTGAATTAGTTAGTGTCCTCAGTACTGCCTATTCGTTACAGCTGGCTATTCACTAAATTACTCTACCTGGTTCCAACAGACATAAGAATTTGTGATCCCTGTGCTCTTTAGTTTGACAATGAGGGAAACTGAGGGCCAGAGAGGTTAGAAGGGATTAATAGAGATCCAACAACAGAACCAGAACCTGTAACTCTGGAATCTAAGATCTAGTCTTAAGCCACTGTGCATCCCAAGAGAAAAGTGTGCTGCTAGCAATGGTTCTTAGAGTTGGTAATATCTTGATTTGTTTTTAAATAGAAAAAATTATCTTAATTTCCAAGTATATAAAATTATGTTGTTTTTATTCTAATTTATATATATGAATTAAATATATATTTTATTCTAATTTATATATACGGATATATATATAAATTAGGGAAGCAGGCTATAAGTTAAACTTTTATAAGATTATTAAGAAAATTTTGCACATTAAAGTTTTAAAACTAAGAAACTAATTAAAATTTAAATTAATGATATAAATTTATAGGGAAGATTATGCTTTTCCACAGCAAATAAAATTTCAATATTGAGTATACTCACAGAAAGGTTTCCTCTCAAGTCCTGTCCTACCTTTAGTGTCACACAATTCTGACTTTAACAATTCTAACGTGGAGAGTACTATCTACACCAAGAGAAAAGAGAATATGAAATGACTTCAAGTTTCTTTGTGCTAGTTGAGGTTATTCAAACCTGCTATTTGTCTAAAATTTGTTTAGGAGTGAGAAGCCATTTTAAATAAAGCGTCACCTATAATTAGGCAAAATAACTCAAGGATAAAGTCCGTACTGCAGCTTCACTGATGAATAGCAAATCAAACTGGGCAGAGACAAAGAATTTGCCATCCTCTTGTAGCTTTGGAATAAATATGTACAAAGATGCAACCCTTGTGACACAGTCTATTGCCCTGTGGATGGGCGTGGCAGTAATCATTGTGGGGCAGTCTCCAGTATTTGGCTCACCTGTGCTATTATGTCCTGCAGAAGGGAAGATTCACTGTAGTTTGGCTATAGAAATACTAAGTGGCCATCCAGATGCTGCAGTAGAGGCACATATTAATGGTTTTATATTGTTATTAAAATTAAAATGCAAAATTGAAAAAGCAGTGATGTAATTTCATGAACTCCAAAAATACCTTCAGAGAATAGAGCCCAGAGTCAGAATCCCTTGGTTCTAGCCCTCCATTTTCCACTAATTAGTTGTATGACCTTTTAAAAGACAACTAACTTATCCTCTTGCATTTCACTTTTATCATTTGCAATTATGAGTTAATTGAACTAGATGAACTTTAAAATTTTCAAAAATCCCACAATTTTTTATAACTCTATGTTTACACTTGCTACATCTTCCTTCTCTGAAATTTCACAAATCAAATAACTAAGAGAACAAGTTTATCTTATAGGCAATGTATTGCCTATTCTTCAAATGTATTACTAAAAAAAATCTGAATGTTGGTGTAAGAAGTAATCCGATCTAATTTAATTTCAAATTGCATTACAGGAAGCACCATTCTTCCATGGTGATCTTAGAAGTATACCATATCTTAGTGAAAGTGTGAAAAAACTGGCTGTAGATTCTCCTCTTTGATTCAAAGAGCAACTCCCCTTCCATCTACCTGTTTTATATTGGAAGTTCCACATGTGTGATTTGAAAATATACTTAACATCTTATGCAACTCTCTAGGTTCTCCGGAAGCCATGTATCCTGGGCTCTCAGCTGCTTGCTTTGCCTCAGCTGCTCCTTTGGCTATCTCTCCAAAGATTCACTATAGTTTGGCTATGGAAATACTAAGTGGTCATCCAGATGATGTACCATCATCAATTGGTCATCCACCACCATGACCAATTGCCTATGCTTGGATTCTCATTAGTCTTCTAGTATAGGTGGTTATTCATTCTCTTGCCCAAAGTGGGCAGGGCCCTCCTTTAGGATACTACTGTGCTCCAGGCCTAGCTGCCACATGCGAGAAGTTTCTGTTTTCCAAAGCCACTTCTACACTTTTTGATGTGAAAAAAACAAACAAACAAACACCACACTGTGTAAATGAGATCTGGCTCCCAGATCAACTGTCAATGAAGCTGGAAGAGAACAATGCATAAATTGTCTCTTTGTGGGACGAACTTAGATCAATGGAATAGAAGATGGAAAGGTAACTTCCATGCCATCTTTCTTCTCATGGACTGTTCCAAAACATGATTCTATATTACCTGGACCATACATGGCCAGGTGTATACTGCTAAGCAACAAGCTGTGTCTCTGAAATACAGGAAACAGTGACCAGCCTAGTAACATATTATTGTGTGTTGCTTCCTAGTCTTCCCTGACCGGGGATCTTTATCT